AACGATGTTCATAGCAGCACTATTTGTAATATCCAGAAACTGGAAGCAGTCTAGATGTCCCTCAACTGAAGAATGGATACAGAAAATGTGGTACATAGGCAAATGGATGGAGCTAGAAGAAACCATTCTGAGTGAGGTAACCCAATCACAAAAAGACAAACATGGTATGTACTGACTCATATGTGGATTTTAGACATAGAGTAAAGGATTACCATCCTACAATCCACACTGCCAGAGAAGCTAGTAAACAAGGAGGACCCTAAGAGAGACATACATGGTCCCGTGGAGAAGGGGAAAGGGTCACGATCCCCTGAGCAAATTGGGAGCATGGGAAAAGGGCAGAGAGAGCTAGGTGAATGAGAAGGGGAGAAGAGGACATGAGGAAGCAGAAAGGTTGAGTCAGGGGAAGAATAGAAGAAAACAAAAATGGAGATACCATAATAGAGGGAGACATTTTAGATTTACAGAGAAATCAGGCACTAGGCAAATGTCTGGAGATCTACAAAGATGACACCAGGTAACAATTTAAGAAACAGAGGAGAGGCTACCTTAAACGCCTTCCCCTGATAATGAGATTGATGACTGACTTATATGCCACCCGATAACCCTCATCCAGCAACTGGTGGAAGTAGAAGCAGACACCCACAACTAATTACTGAACTAAACTGGAATCCAGATGCATAGAAGGACGAGTGAAGAGCAAAGGGTCCAGACCAGGCTGGTGAGATCCACAGAAACAGCTGACCTGAACATCGGGGAACTCTTGCTCCCCAGAATGATAGCTGGGATACCAGCATGGGACTGATCCAGACCCCAGGAACATGGGTTTTAGTGAGGAAACCTCGGAAATCTGCGGGACCTCCTGTAGTAGTTCATTACTTATCCCTAGCATAGGTGTGGACTTTGGAAGCCCATTCCATATAGAGGAATATTCCCTGAGGCAAGACACACAGGGGTGGGCCTAAGCCCTATCCTAAAGGATACCATAGACTCTGATGACACCCTATGGAAGGCCTCACCATCCAGGGGGGAGCAGAAAGGATATGTGATAGATAGGGATTTAGTTGGGGGGTGGTGGTAGGGGAGGACTGGAGGGAGAAGGGAACTGTGATTGTCATGTTAAACATTCTTGTTTCTAATGCAAATAAAAAATCTGCAAAAAATAAAATATTTAGTAAGAGAAAAGTAGAGAAATAGCCAATGGAGGGAAATGCTAACAACCAGATAAAGCCACAACATCCCTAAGAGGAAAAAGAAAAGAAAGCAACTTAAGGAAAGATGTTGCCCAAATAACACATGGAAGGAAAAGTAGCTGATAAATATAAAGAAAGGGGTTGCTTCACCAATACACACAATAATTCAACTTAAAAACAGAAGAATCTCTTAGTTTAGCTATGAGAGCAATAAACATCTGAAAGCAAAATTCCAACATTTGGAATACTGAAGAAACAGTAATACTCCCATTTTCTTTGGAGAGATTAGAGTAGAGGAATGTCTTCAGCAATTTGGCAGTTTCCATCCAATTATAATATGTTCATATCCTTTGAGCTAATATATTTATTTCTGAGAATATATCCATAGGAAAATAGGACACCCTTGCAAAATAATAGGATCAAGACGTAAAACTGAAGCAGTATTATTTAAATCAACAGTAAAATGAAAACAACCCAATGTCCACCAAAAGCAAGTTATTGAAATACATTATTCTAAAAGTGTTACAAGTCCTTTCTGGTGTGGTGATGGTGCATATTGGAAGTCCTAGCACTCAGGAGGTTGAGGCAGAAGGATCACTGCAAATTTAAGGAAACTATGAGCAACATGGAGAGACTCTGTCTCAAAACAAAACAGAAAACGTAAAAAGCAACACAAGTCTTTATGTGAAATGCTGAGTCCACAGTACATTTTAAGTAAAAGCAATTAGACAAATGTTTAAGTCACTTATTTATTACATCTACTGCTAGGCTATACACAGACAATATCTAGAACAACAATTTTTAACTGTTTTGACAGAGAAGGGTCTAGAATAATAGGAAACCTTCACATTTTGTTACTTAGACACCTTCAAGTAGATATCTACTATTTTAGTAGTCAGTGAGTTTTTGAAAAATTAAATAAAGTCAACATTGGCATTATTAGGAAGATTTCTTTTCAAATGTAGTCTTTTTGGGCATGTTTCAGGAAATATAAAATGCATTTAATTTAAGAAATTATCTAGAATTAATATGCAAAACAATGAACAGGGCTTTACTCATTTTAGGAATTAGCAATCACCTATCTTCAAGATGTTTATACCCAGTTTTAAAAACAGTAATAAAAGGAGCATCACATTGTTTCAACATATTTGCTTTTGGTTTATATAGGGAGGAAAAACTTACCTGGGGATAAAAAATAGATTCTAGGCCTATCACTATTTACATTTCCTTAGACTATAACCTGGGCTATCCTTTTACTATCTGTAAATTAAGTAACGTATAATAGGATTGAATGACTCATTTCAGATTACACATTTTAATTCAAATGAGGAATTAACAACCAATATATAGATATCATCAATAGAAGTAGTTCACCATTAATTGACAAATTATTGGTGTTATGAATTCCAAAAATGATAATTTTATAATATGACCATGAAGTAAATTTTTAATCAACATGAGAAAGAAACCATGAAGTGAATTGAGGGAAGAAAAATGACTCCACAGAACAAATGCATTTTTGAGGGAATATACATATTAAGTTAGAAATAGTCCTCATTGAATAGGTACATTTGTCAGAAGCAAAGTACCAAGATGGCTGAATAGTTGGCGTTGTTTTCATGAAATTGGAAACTACTTTATATTCACTGAATACTATGTACCAATGTTAGTGTTTGATAATCAAGGGGCACCCAGGGTGTGTCAGGTCTTAGGCGATGCCATACATGAAGTATAATGATAAATTCAAGATGCATGATGGACTCTAACTACAGGAACTCAAGGGAACCCCTGCATTTGTTGTTATTTGAAATTGTGCCTACTATTTGAAAACTTATTTTTAATCTCAAAAGTCATTGTCCCAGAGAAAAGCTAGCCATCTGCTTTGAGAACACCCTTCTTAAAGCTCCCTTTATATCCTGATTTCTGAAGCTGTAGATGAAGGGGTTTAGCATAGGGGTCACCACTGTGTACATCACAGCCATGACAGTCTCCTTAATGGTTGAATTATTAGCTGATGGACATAAGTAGAGACCAATGATTGTCCCGTAGAAGAGAGACACCACAGAGAGGTGGGAACCACAGGTGGAGAAGGCCTTTCGTATGCTTCTAGAAGAGGGGACCTTGAGAATGGAGGACACTATTCGCACATAGGATAAAAATATCAACAGGAATGGGACAATAATGACAAGTCCTCCTAAGATAAATATCATCATTTCATTGGTTTGGATATCAGAGCAGGCTAACTTCAGAAGAGCTGACATGTCACAGAAAAAATGGCGGAAAACCCGAGCCATGAGTAGCGTGTGAGACAAAGAGATGATTACAGTCAGTAGCCAAGGAAGTATCACCAGGAAGAGACACAGCTTGGGGCTCATGATGCTAGCATAGTGCAGGGGGAAACAGATGGCCACATAACGGTCATAAGCCATGGCCACAAGGAGGAAACTCTCGAGGTCTGCAAATAGTAGGAAAAAGTACATTTGTGTCAGGCAACCTGCATAGGAGATGGATGGTACTTGGCTCTGCATGTTCTGCAGCAATTTGGGAATGGTGACAGAGGAAAAGCAGAGGTCAGAGAAGGACAAATTACTGAGAAACAAGTACATGGGCGTGTGGAGGTGTGAGTCCAGCTGAATAAGGATAATGATGAGGAAGTTCCCCAGGACGGTGGTGAGGTACATGACCAGGAACAGGGCATAGAACAGGTCTTGGTGGAGTGGCTCAATGGGCAAGCCCAGGAGGAGGAACTCTGAGACAACAGTTTGATTTCTTCTTTCCATGTTGACTTCTTAACCTTTTCAAACTTAAGAATGATTTGTATGAATATACAAACATATACACAATGAAGAACTTTAAGGAAGACATTTTAAAAATGAAATCTAACACCTGAGAATTATAGAAAATTACTTTGTATTCTTCCAAGTACCTAATAAACTGTAAATTCAACAATACTGAATTCTGTAAGAATGTTCTTCTGAAAGCACATTTGTTATCCCAGCTACTTGGAAAGTTGAAGCAGGAAGATCTGAAGTCCAAGGCCTTCCTGGGCCACACAGTGAGCTTGAGGCCAACTTGGTAGCTTAATGAGACTCACCTCAATCTAAAATTAAAAAGGGCTGTGACTTAAGAGTTTACCGTGATGTGATAAAACACCAAGACCAAAAGCAACTTAGGGAGGAAGGAATTTCTTTTGTTTACACTTCCACATCACATTTCATCAACAGAGGAAGCCAAAGAAGGGTCTTAACAGGGCGGGAGTGCTTAACCTGGAGGCAGGAACTGATGCAGAAGCCATGGAGGAATGCTGCTTACTGGATTGCTCCATCAGCTTTCTTAGAGTAGCTAGGACCACCACCCACAATGAGATGTGCACTCCTACATCAATCATCAATAAAAACAGTGCTCCACAGGCTTGACTAGAGGCCAGTTTGGTGGAGACATTTTCTCAATTGAGGGACCTTCCTTCCAAATGATTTTAGCTGATGTGAAGTCGACATAAAACTAGCCAGTCAGGCTGTGAGTATAGTTCAGCAGTAGAACACTTGCTTAACATGTACAATTTACTGTGTTAAATCTTCAACACCGGATTTAAAAAAAAAATTTGTTGCTGTGCCAGGAGTGGAATTGGATGAACAAGTAGATAAAAATAACACACAAATAAAACTGTTTACCATTCTTCTCACTCTGGAATGATGTCAGAGTGACGGCAGTGGTAAAAATGTTGTCAATGGTACTGTTAGTAAGTCTAGAGCAACAACTGTTACTGTTTTCCCACCATCAGGATATGCACGTGAAACACTAGGCCTTTTTTACTTTTCACAACAACCTTATTAGACAGATACTGTTACTCACATTTTTCAGATAAATAAGCAGACACTTATACTCATTTAGTGATTCACCTAAGATCTCACACCTGTTAAGAAATAGTCCTGGGTGTTAAGTTCAGATAGTCTCACTTCAGAGGCTTGTTTTCAGCTAGAAGAATGTCTGAGAATGGTTACACATGACAGGTTGGTATTTGTTATCTGGAAAACCTTGCAGATGAGAATAGAGACAAAATGAGTTGAGAAAGTATAGGGCATGTTTGTTTTATTTTATTCACACATCTGGATGGTTAAGGGAAGCTGCATAAGGAGTATCCAGCAACACAACTAATCCCACTTGCTCAGGAAACACAGCAAGTGCAAACAATGTGCCTGCCACTTTGGTAGAAGAGCACAGAAGAACTAGATACCATGAGGTATACAATCCAAATAAACCAACTCAAGGATCAAGAAATTGAACATAATCCCTGAATTGTCTTCCTGTGTGACCATGTAGAGCATAACCATAAGACATTAACCCTTGATGAGGATTATTTCCTCTTTCCCTTTATCCACCTCCTTCTGAGGTAGGTATTCATCTCTGTATTCATTGTTTTAGGATATAGACAGGGTAGGAAAACAGAGTCCAGAAATTTTCTTAGTTTTTATTTGCTAAACCTTAAAACCCAGAATAAGTGAAAAATTAACTGGTAGATAAAACAAAACAACAAAAATTTCCTGGCACAGTAGAAGGTGAAAGAAGCATCTTCCCAGGAACCAAGAAAGATTCCCTGGCACAAGAGGGCAGACTGGGGATGAGTCAATGGTCTGTGTGTGGATCCTCTAGGAGGGGGAGCTGGCAATGTCTTAGAAGGCTTGATGAAAAAACACAAGCTTCATTAAGAGGGGGAATAAAGCTTTTCAAAAATACCATGTTTAATAAGTCACAAGTTTGACAAACTTAATTTATTGACTTTCATAAAGAGAAAAAAAATAAATAACTAATATGTTTCGAAGAAACCAGAAGGCAATCAATGTTACATGTTGTGTCATGTCCCAGGTAGCCAAATGAGTGCCACTCACATTTCTTTCCTATCAATTAGAGCGGTAGTGAAATAATTGAAGGAAAAAAAATGGTCTCCGACAAAAGTTCCTAGGTTGCTGAGAACCTAGCACTCTGGAGGCAGAGGTAAGTGGTTCTGTGTGAATTTTGAGGCCAGCCTGGTGTACAAAGCAAGTTCCAGGAAAGCCAGGACTATTACACAGAGAAATCCAGTTTCAAAAGCACAAACAAACCAAAGCAATTCCTAGGTCAACAGTAAGTGTGTGAACATGTCCAACGTTATTATTCATCAGGAAAATGCAAATTGAAATCACTGGAAGATATTACATCTCACCAGAAGAGCTGGAAACAATGGTTAAAAATGACAAATGTAGCCGGGTGTTGGTGGCCCATGCCTTTAATCCCAGCACTCAGGAGGCAGAGGCAGGCAGATCTCTGTGAGTACCAGGCCAACCTGGTCTCCAGAGCGAGTGCCAGGATAGGCTCCAAAGCTACACAGAGAAACCCTGTCTCAAAAAACCAAAAAAAAAAAATGACAAATGATAGCAAGGATTTAAAACAACACTTTCATGCCAGTAAAATTTTATTTATATGGGCCTGGAGCAATGGCTCAGTGGTTAAGAACACTGACTACTCTTTCCAGTTCAGTTTCCAGCACCCATCTGGAAGCTCACAACTATCTGTAACTTGAGTTCCAGGGGATCCAATGTCCTCTTCCAGCTTCTGTGGTCACTGTATCCATGTGGCACATAGAGTCACATGGAGACAAAATGTCCATACACATAAAAATTAATTTACAAATTTAAATAGTATTGCATTATAATATATAAATATACATTATATTTATTATATTATATATAGTGAGAATGTAAAATACTAAAGACACTTTGTTAACAGCAGTTCTTAAATTCCAACATCCAGATACCTCTGGATACATTGGCAAGTGAGCACTGTGTGTTAAAATGAAGGGAATTTGAACAAGGATTTTATAGTCACAAGGTCTTTACCTCATAAATATAAAAATATGTCTTAGATGAGGCTCATAGACAGTGGTGTCCTTGATTAAGTTCAGTAGCTGATCAGTTCTTGCTAATTTAATAAGAAACAACATCCTTACATTGGTATCTCATACATCATCCATGGCATTTTATGAGAATTTTCCAAATACACAATAGAAACATCTATCCAATCAATTGTCAATATAATATACATTAGTGAATTTTTTAGCTCATTGTAGCTCTAGGATGTGTAAGACCTGGATTTTCTCACCAGCATCACAAACAAGACCATTTTGACGGTGTACATGGGTGGGAGAGATGTTGGAAGATTTCACTTAGGAGGACTGAATAGGAGAAATCTACTAAAAAGAGTGACTATAGATAGCAATATATTGTGTTCTTTAAAACTGCATAAAAGGGGTATATTAAAATATTCTCATTACAAAATGATAACTATGTGAATCAAGGAATATTCTAATTAGCTAGAGTAGACCGACCATTCAGAAGTGTCTACAGCCTCCAAAGCATCATGTTGTCCATGATCAGCACAAACAGTCATGACCATTAATTTTATAGCAATTAAATAAATGCATCATCCATGATCAGCACAAACAGTCATGACCATTAATTTTATAGCAATTAAATAAAAGCATCAGAAAAAGTTGAAAGCAATCATAATAGAAAGCACTAATTAAACAATGATGAAACTGGCCACTAGTAATATGAGCAAACCACAAGTGTGAACCATATGAAGAATTTCAGTTTATTTTTAGAAATACAAACATATTTTCTCTGGATTTCATAATTACCTTTGTGAAATTCATCCATTTGGATACACTTTTAGTTCCTTGATGATGTTACTTCAGTGTATAACTACTCTTTTGCCATTTAGGGATACTAAACTTTCCAAATCATTGTGTCCAAATTTTTATTAAGATAGATTTGCTTTTATTTTGTGTCAGATATTTTGCCTGCATTTATGCCTATGACCACATGCATACTAGTGCCCACAGAGGCCAAAAGGGAGCATTAGTTCCCCTGGAACTGGACTGCAGATGTTTATGATCTACCGTGTAGGTGCTTGGAATCAAACCTGGGTCCTCTAGAAGAATATCTAGTGTTCGTAACTACCAAGCCATCTCTTCAGCCCTGTATCTATGTCTTGACATTGAAACTACTGGAGAAATGGTTGCTACATTTCTTTGCCTCTTAAGAATTTGTCACCAGGAAGGGTCTGAGATGGCTTCAGTTGGTAAGGCATTTGCCATACAGGTATGATGACTTGAGTTTGAATCCCAAGCACAGGCATGAAAAGCTGTTCATGGCCATACATCTGTAACATCAGCTCACTGAGGTGGAGACTGGGATCTCAAAGCTTAGTGGCCAGCTAGCCTAGCTGAAACAGAGAGCTTCCATGTCAGTGAAGAGACTAGATCAGAAAATAACATGGAAAACAATTGGGAAGGACACCTGATGTCAACCTCAAATCCCTACATGCATCCATATAGGCATATATTCCCATAAATATGCATGCCTACACATGAGCAGGTACACTTCTGTAGATCATACCCAAATACTTAAAGACATAAACAAACATGCAATGATTCTTGGTAAGGAAACATTAAAGGAATAAGAGCAAGAAGGAAGGGAACACAATGGTGAGAGACATCTTAAGTTATCAAGGATCATGTTATGATATACATAGTACTTAAGCAATGGGTTCTTTCAATTCACTCTGCTTTGACCAACATCATTGTGATGGGAAAACACCAAAACTTACCTCACAGTGTTGTCCTTTCTAGAGAGACACTATGTTGTTGCATTTGGAAGACTCACTGTCATCACCACTAGGTTCTGTAACATGGAAGCAGTACTTTTCTAAATGTGTTCTCATCCATACTCACTGAATGAGCCCC